GATGCCGTCTGTGTTATTCGAGGTCATTTTGAGCCGAATTTAGCTTAGGTCAGGTCACTTTCAGGTCAAAAAAGGTCATATTTTGAAGCTAAAATTTTTCAACAAAAAAGGTGTCTATTGGATGTAGTTTGAGCTCAGGAACACGATGGTGCTATTTATATTGGTGTACGATGTCAAATACGTACTGAAAAATTGATTTAAAAAATTAATATTTGTGAATTTTTGCAATACCTAATGCGGAAAACTTAGCCATTTTTGAAGATATTTAGCTAAAACTTGCTAGACTTAGTCAAAAACATGCGTTCTATCACATCTATTCCATTTTTTTTTCTCGAAAAATCGAAAACTTTTTGAAAAATATGAAATATAAATTTTGAATTTTATTAAATAAAATTAACGAAATATTTGAAATTTTGAAAATCCGAGATAGCAGTTTGAAAGCGCAGTCTATTCTGAGTCCTTTCATGCAAAGAAATTGGATCTAGCTAAAAAACTGAGCTCTTGGGAGCGATTGCCGTGGTTCAATGTTTTGTGTCGAAATCGGCCGAACATGACGTCACTCTGACGTCATTTCCGGCCGACCTATGGTAACTACGAAGTTCATATTTTGACACAAGGTGTTAAATTGATGCAGCCGAAGGTACTGAAAGTTTAGCGTCGATACGTCAAGCAATTTGGAAGTTATTGCAGAAAAACGGGAGGGGGGCTATGTATAGCCCCCCCCCCCCCGTGGGGCGTGAGTTAAGGTGGCTAGTTTAAAACACAACCACTGAATCACACTGGATAAGAACAAACAAACCAGATATGACACTGGTAGCCACGAAGCTCACAAACGAGAATCACATCTATAACACCAGTAACTAACGTACAACGGCGGCCGGCCACGCACTTGTCAACACTTTTCAGCATTGAATTTCGCTAATCAAAGCATTTACCGTGGCGTTAAAAACTGAGCTCTTGGGAGCGATTGCCGTGGTTCAATGTTTTGTGTCGAAATCGGCCGAACATGACATCACTCTGACGTCATTTCCGGCCGACCTATGGTAACTACGAAGTTCATATTTTGACACAAGGTGTTAAATTGATGCAGCCGAAGGTACTGAAAGTTTAGCGTCGATACGTCAAGCAATTTGGAAGTTATTGCAGAAAAACGGGAGGGGGCTATGTATAGCGCGCCCCCCCCCGTGGGGAGTGAGTTAAGGTGGCTAGTTTAAAACACAAGCACTGAATCACACTGGATAAGAACAAACAAACCAGATATGACACTGGTAGCCACGAAGCTCACAAACGAGAATCACATCTATAACACCAATAACTAACGTACAACGGCGGCCGGCCACGCACTTGTCAACACGTTTCAGCATTGAATTTCGCTAATCAAAGCATTTACCGCATCAAACCTGTGTAATTCTCAAAACTGTGTACCACTTAAAACTGACTTTTGTGAGTCAAACTGCCGAACCGTTAGACAGAAGTGGCAGCAGTGCGGTTGCACTTCGCATGGGTACGCATGTGTTTGGTGAGGTGTGCCCGTTGAGTGAATCGGGCCTGGCAGTGTGAGCAGTCGTACGGCCGCTCCCCCGTGTGAGTCCGCATGTGTTTGATGAGATTTCCCCGTTCAGCGAACCGGGCCTGACACCGGGAGCAACTGTACGGCCGCTCCCCCGTGTGGGACCGCATGTGATTGTTTAGGCTTGACCGTTGAGTGAACCGTGCAGTACAGATGGAGCAGCCGTGCGGCCGCTCCCCCGTGTGGGTCCTCATGTGTGCCTTGAGGTGTCCCCGTTCAGCGAACCGGGCCTGACACCGGGAGCAACTGTACGGCCGCTCCCCCGTGTGGGACCGCATGTGATTGTTTATGCTTGACCATTGAGTGAACCGTGCAGTACAGATGGAGCAGCCGTACGGCCGCTCCCCCGTGTGGGACCGCATGTGTTTGTTTAGGCTAGACCGTTGAGTGAACCGGGCCTGGCAGTGTGAGCAGCCGTACGGCCGCTCCCCCGTGTGGGTCCGCATGTGTGTGATGAGGTTTGACCGCTCAGAGAACCGTGCCTTGCAGATGGAGCAGCCGTATGGCCGTTCCCCTGTGTGAATTCTGCGGTGGCGTTCCATACGGGTGGACTTGTCGGTCGAGTATTGACACCACTCGCACTTGAATCTGCCGTTCCTGCCGATGTGACCGTGACTTGTCTTCACGTGTCCGTCCAGATAATGTTGTCCCAGACATCGGAAGTCGCAGTGGGGACACCGAAGTGTAAAGCCAATACCTGTAAAACACATTTAGAGATTGAGAGAGATCGAAAATGTTTCTGTCCAGCTATGTACAACATCAGGGTAAAATGATTGCATTCAAAATTAACAGTGAAGGACATGCATCGCTCCCTTAGTGCCAGTGAAGTAGGATTAGGGCCCAGTTGTCGCATTTGGGGCTGGCCGGAGAAATTCGAGAGCCAGTAGCCACTCAGCGCGGTGGTCGATGCCTGACATGCGGTCACGACCAAGGGAGAGGTCGAGGAGCGGTGATGGATTGTGCGGTCACCAGCCGGTAACGTTGCGACGGCAATAGACAAGTAATGAACAAGATTGGTTGGCTGACACAGATGAAAATCGAACGTCCATTGATGGTGCAAGACCCACGGTTTTTATGCAACTCGAAAAGACATGAACTAATACGGATGGATAATAAATTGCGCCCTTATACGATCGCACTTATTATCTCAGCTGCACAGGTTGTAACGAAATTATCCGGACATCTTTCTTCCCGCTGGAATTGAAAAGCCAAACAATCTGATGGCTTTCCTTCAATGGCGATTGAGCCACACCTTCATAAGAAGACAGTTTAGAGTGCCGTGGAGCCTTTCAACCACTGGGTTCTCCAGCACACAGGGTTTGATGTCGACCGACGCCGTCTTGACCTGTGCCTACAGCTGGGCGGTGCTGGTGACGGTGTCTCCTGATTCACCTCCTGTTGGGCAGCAGTGCTTATAAGTTTTCGATGGGAATAAGATCGGGGCTATTCCCAAGTCATAGCCCGTCAGCCCAGAAAGGTAAGAGGCTCCCTCAGCATCACTTTTCATTTTCTAGGGACTTTGAGGTGGCGCGCCTTCCCGCATGAAGTCAGCGTGACTTGAACCAGACATCAGTGCGCTTTCAGAAACCGAGTCTGGGTGTGCCGTCCGTTTGAGCGCCTCCAACCATTCGTTGGCCGTGAGGCTGCTCCGGTAAGTGCTCGTCGTTGATAGTGGTTTTCTGTGACACCACGTGCTATTGGAACATCGCGCGGCAGCTAAACATGCACCAGACGGATATTGGCCGGATGTTTGACGCTGTTGACGGTCGGCACGTTAGAACTGCTCTCGACGAGGAGCTCTAGAGGTCACTCGAGGTCAGGTCATCGGGTCACGCCAAGTGACCTTACTTCCTTTGAAGCCTCAATGCCTGTCATAGCTACAGAGTGATCGATCGCATTGAAACTTTCAGCTATTGATGACACCAACAATTTGTGCAAAATGTATATCTCGGAATTTTAATAACGGTCAGGTAAGGTCAGTTCAATATTGCGATCTCTCCAATATGAGTCAATGGGAGAAAATTGGAAGGTACCTGCTTTAAACGAACGTCATTTTAAACACTTTAAAACAACGAATTACAAGTAAAAAAAGACACAAAGGACCGGAAATTGGCACCCGCGACCAGACATGTGCATGGATCCGAGAAAATGGATCTGGGATCTGATCCCACGGATCCTGATCTCGGATCCGTCGGGATCATAGATCCAGCTCTTCAATTTATCGAGAGACCCGTAGGGATCATAGATCTGAGTCTAGTATTTTTGCTTGAGATCCAGTGGGATCATAGGTCCTCATTTATTTTTGGTCAACACAGAAATCCCAAAAGATCACTCGTTGCAACTCACAAACGTTCTTATTTAGTGCTTTTATGTGATAACACGTCATAATCCATAGTTTTATGGCACTTATTGACATAGAAACACTTGGAAACCTGGTTTCGAATGTTGTTCATGGTGGGATCCACTCAGATCATAGATCCATGCTTTTGGTTTATCGTCAGATCCTGTGAGATCATAGATCCAGGATAAAATTTTCACGCCGGATTCGGTGGGATCATAGATCCAAACCTGTAATGTGCCTCGAGATCCACTGAGATTATAGATCCATCACTCGGATCCATGCACATGTCTGCCCGCGACCCATCCTTATGTCCCCGAGGTTATCTTAGGTCAACATGTGCCGAAAATGTGCATGTAGTGGTGTGCTAAAAATAGCAGCCCTCCACGAAGCCGTTTTTTGATATACGAGTATACCTATGCCAAAAAAAAAAAACAGGACGGGGGTCAAAACACCCCTCCGACCCAGCGAGGGCTAAATGTTCAAATATATGCTACTGAACAATATGTTAAAGTTTCTTTCGGGAACCATTGACCAAAACCAGAGGCAGACCGCCTCACCTTCAAGCGCAAGGATTAGATCGCAAATCGAAATGTCAGTTCAACAGACCAAACCCATGTAGTTTGGTAAATATACATCAAGCCTACATACCTACATTAGACCAGCTTCAACTGAACGGACCACCCGTTCCGTCGTTTCCATCCTCAGGACAGTCAAATCCTTCTCCACGCCTCAAACCCCCTGCTCCGGGCTGGACGGGCAATTATAACCCATACGGGAATGGCTCCACTGGAGCTAGCCCGTAGCCGGGTGCAGTGAGTGCCAGTGGGCTACGCGGCCTGTCCAACCGGACGGGTTCAGCCCAGGTGACTCACTGGGGTGCCTGTCCAGACCAATGCCTTCCCTAATCCCTATCATCCTTCCGGCTCTGAAATGGTCTTATAGGACAGAAAGGGCCGAACCCAACAAAACAAACAAAAATGAACGGACCGGACAAGAGCATAGTCAAGAGTGTTGGTAGGAAAGTAAATTTATCTCCAGGATCCTTTCGATGGACGCCATAGCCCTCGGAACCGCTAACGATGAACTGACCTGAAGATGACGGTCCGGCCGGAGAGGAAGTCACAGACTTCTCAGACGTCTCCGAGTGGACGGTCAGCTCCCGGGCCGAGTCGTCTCCGTAGTACACCAGCAGCTCAGAGCCCCGCGGAACGGGCTTTGACGTCCTGCATAGGGAAATAAATATAGCATTATTGATGAAAGCTTGATTGGTGTAGTCACAACACTTACACTGTCATTAATAACTTCGACGAATCCATTAAAGAAAAATATGGGCTACAGGACGAACCGCGCATAACATACGTAACGCAGTTAGGAAGAATAGATCCGTGGATTCCAAGACTACAACGCACCTGAAGTATATCTGACCCCGGTACTGGAAGGCCACTAGGTTTTGTTCTTCCTCCGAGCGGGCACAGTTGACCCTTCTGAGCCAGTTGCTGCAGCTCGGGTCTTCGGCATTCACCGAGTGATGTACCCGATCACCCTTCTTGATCTGAGGTACCAAACAAAAACATAGTTCATCAATTCAAAGAACAAAGTAAAAATATGACATACGCAATGGAAACATTATCAAATTCCCATGTAGCCAACATTGGTCTAAAATGTTTTTATAGTTTTTATCGTTGAAGCAAGTCTTAAGTGGAAACATGCGTTTTTACCTGCAAAACAAAACAACTGAACTGACCTGCCATCTGTACCCGGTTGTTCGACCTCGGGCCTGACTCTCCTCGGTGGTCAAGGTTCCCTCGTAAGGACCGAGTCTTTGGCGCGCAGGTATGTCCTTCTCCGCCAAAACTCCTGGAATCAAATAAATACAAGCCTTCACCTTAACTAAATGGACACAACATGTACTGATACATGGGACATGAAATCATACAATACAAGCAACCATCACCAAATGATGCATCAAACGTCCAGCAGCAGTTGTTACGCATCGCCATTTGTCTTGCCTCATTAACTTACCGGTGCCAGACGCTGGATTTGTCGACTGACCAGAGCTGAGAGAAGGCGGGAGAGTCTTGACGTCCCTATCGACATCTCCGATACCGGGTCGTGCCTGGAATGTTCAGCGCATGTGGGGCGCAATGTCGACAATACAATCCACGCATTGAGATTATCTTAAGCCTGTTTGTAAATCAGACGGGTATGTTTTGTGGATATAGATCATGAACCTGTTCTTGACCACGTACCCATGACAGTATTACCTGCTAACAAGACAGTAGCAAAGCAATAATATAACTATGAGAAAGAGGATTACGTAAATGTGAAAGAAATAGATCATTTTTACATGAAGCTCATGTCGTTCCATCACTAGGGCATCAGGCACAATTGGTCATATTATTTAATGTCTAAATGTGAGAGGAGTCATGTGTAAAGAATACGAATCAGACCAGTATGGACCAGTCCTTACCTTGGTATCGTGTATGATCTTTAGCGGTCCATGGACGGGACATTCACCGTCCCAATCGCGGCAGCACACGTCACAAACTGTCCGAAAGAAGGGCGAAAAAATCATTAGCGATTTGATGAAGAGCAGACCAAGGTTTAATCGTTCAAGGTTCCGTTAGACGGAAACAATGCGTCTGTATTCGGTTTAATTTGTCTGCAATATGAGTGCTTATCGTGTACATTCGTCCGTTGATGAGGAATAGCTAGCTGACTAAAATCGAGAGAATACTCACATATGTTACTATCAACGAGACCGTCCACATCTCGGTAGTTAATGACGAGACGTTGACTCTTGATGAACACTCCTTCAGCAAAAACTGCAATAAATTCAACAGGGTAATCAATAATTCGGTGGCATTTCGGTAACGCGTCAGTTTAATAGAGTGCATGCAATTGAACATAAGAATGGTTCGATAATGCCATTCAATCACTTTGTAGAGTACGAAACCAAAAATAAAAATAAAACTTACATTTTCTCTGAAAAGGGCACAAAAGTAAGACCGAGGATATCACGATAAACCCATTGCTTACAGTCTCTTCACATATATATACTTACCTTCAGTAGAGTCTCGAATGGCAGACGAACAACCAAGTAACAGACTCCTTTTTGCATTGTTGATGAAACAGGCACTGAAAGAACAGACAAATGCAAATATTATTAGAATTCATCAAGGATAATATATCATTGTCTACTATGTCAAATAACAACTAAAATTTCAATAACAGCACTGAATCATGCGGTGCCCTAACCTGTCCCGGTCCACCTCAGTGAACCCGATGAAGTCCTCAGACGGTGACGGTGATCGAGGTCGGTACTTTTCCTCCTTCACTAAAGAATGCAGAGCGCGGTCCGAGAAAGGATCGTCGTCCGACACCGAGGGAGACGACGGCCGCTCAACCTAGACCGGATCAACAGACAAACAATATTCAATGAAACATGAGATGTTTATCCTCCACAGATATACAAATTGGAACACATTATGCGCTGTCATTCCCTTTTATTAACCTCGCAGCTAAAAACCAATGAGAGGTGAGCACCATGCATTTGAACACTTACCCTTGGTGAAGTGACTTCAATCTTTATCTCCTCCTTCACAACTGGCCGAAAGTCGCTCTCAGAGCCACTATCTATGGGAGTGCAGTTCCTCGGCCTCTGAGACTTCCTCACACTCTGTGACAGACCCCATTCCCCGTCGCTGTCAGCGGAGCCCTCCCGAGACCACTTTGGTCCTTCTGGTGACGTTGATGCAGCCCGCATGAGCGGCAGTAGTTCAGACACTGATGGATCTGGAATGGGGTCCAACATCAGTTCACATCGAGTTGACTAGACGAAAGCACAAAACGGAGAAGTTATGTAGCAAGAAAATACAAAGTTGCAGAGTTATCACCACCAATAATTGAATAATTCCTTATGGAATTAATACCCATAAAACATCTCTCAATAATGACAATGACATGGTTTGCCAACAAGAATGCAGCAGGAAAATAATAGAGGTGCTCCTATACCTAGCCCGCACCCCACTGGGGTCTGTGTATAACACGCCCTACTGGGGGGGGGCTATTCATAGCCCCCCCCCCTCCTAACTCCGAAACTACTGGGCCGATCGTCAAAATTCAAACGGCGTCTGATAGCCCCGGAAAAACTGTCGAGCGAAACCTAATTTCATTGACCTCGAGGTCACCGATGACGTCACAGGTCAGGTCAAAGTAAAAATTATTAGCATTTTGGCTTGTTCACATTTTGGGCTCTGGCCGCCGTCTTACAAGTCAGATCAGGCTCATTTTTGGTACACACACTCTTAAACAGATGCTCTAGATACCCTAAGGGTACCAAGCTTTTACTTTGATTTTCAGGTCAAGGTCAGGTCATCACAGACGAAAATATTTTATCATGCGTCGGTCACGTGACACATGTTTTATGGTCCATTTAGGCCATAGATTTCGAATTTGATGTCGTCTGTGTCATTCGAGGTCATTTTGAGTCGAATTTAGCTTAGGTCAGGTCACTTTCAGGTAAAAAAAGTCAAGTTTTGAAGTTAAAATTTTTCAACAAATAAGGTGTCTATTGGATGCAGTTTGAGCTCAGGAACACGATGGTGCTATTTATATTGGTGTACGATGTCAAATACGTACTGAAAAATTGATTTGAAAAATTAATAATTGTGAATTTTTTGCAATAATGCGTATAACTTGGCCATTTTTGAAGATATTTAGCTAAAACTTGCTAGAGTTAGTCATAATCAAGCGTTCTGTCACATATATTCCGGTTTTTTCGAAAAGTCAAAAACTTTTTGAAAAAAAAATATAAAAATACATATTTTGAATATTATATCAAATTTTCGAAATTTTCAAAATTTTGAAAATTCGAGATAGCAGTTTGATAGCGCGGTCAATTTTGAGTCCTTTCATGCAAAGAAATTGGATCTAGCTTAAAAACTGAGCTCTTGGGAGCGATTGCCGTGGTTCAATGTTTTGCATCGAAATCGGCCGAACATGACGTCACTCTGACGTCATTTCCGGCCGACCTATGGCAGCTACGAAGTTCAAATTTTGACACAAGGTGTCAAATTGATACAGCCAAAGGTACTGTAAGTTTGGCGTCGATCCGTCAAGCGGTTTGGAAGTTATTGCAGAAAAACGGGAGGGGGGGGGGGGGCTATAAATAGCCCCCCCCCCCAGTGGGGTGCGGGCTAGTCTTTAGATCCTGGCTTTATATGAAAAAACTGTTTGTAGCCTCAAATGATCTCTGATGACCTTTCTAGAGAGCAGGCTAGCAGCAAAAGACACCTTTGTTGTCACTAGTAGTCCAAATCATTGTGATTCTGAAATATTTTTACTGTTCCTCCTGACCTGGCAGGCTGACATGACCTCAACCTGGGGTCAAAAATTTCATATGTTGTCAAAAAATGATGCACTACAAGCTACTCCAAGCGGTGAGGCGCTTCGCACCAGTTTTTTATTCACATGCAAAAAACTGGACAGGGTGGTAACAAATGCCCCCCCCCCCCACTGGGGCAAAGGTTAAAACCACTGGGTAAATACTATTAGAATTGTTTTGTGGCGACCTACATGATGGTACTTTCCATTTCCCACTGTTGAAGCTTCTTCCTTATCGATGGATGCCTAGACAAAATCATTGCGTCAGGTTTGAGGTTAGGTAAGGTCTGGTTATGTTTCTTTTTTAATATTTTGGAGACACCTACCTTATCATCATATCTGGATTTAGCTCGTTAAAGGGACCCTCCCACCTTCAAAAAAGTTAATGAATTGGCATAAAAGTGATATCCCTTGGTTCTGAAAGATCAAAAATTAATATCTACCAAATTTCACCAAAAAATATTCACTAGTTTACAAGATATTAGGCTTTTACTTTTGTTTACTTTTTGGAATCTCTGCTGTTCCTAGCGACTATTTGAAAGTGCGGCCCTTGTTGCTCTTAAACAGCATATACCGCAATGTGCTACCAAACGTTTTAGTAAAACATTTTAAATTGTTAGATCTCCACTGACATCATAAATTTTAAGGGGGCATTACAGTGCAGTAGCCCCTTAGAATCCGAAAACTGCAAGTTTGAAATTCCATATATCCGAATTAAAGCATTTTTCGATGTTGTTGTGAGTGCCCAAACCGGTACTGAAGGCCATGGCCACCAATTTAGCTATCTCAACTCAAAACTAATGTTGAGGTGGGATGGTCACTTTAAAAATGGAAGAATACATATTACGTAAGTAGGCACTACTTACTTCTGAAAAGTGAGTCGATGCTATTATACCGAACTTACCATGCTGATCCATCTCAATCTCCAAATCAAGATCCCTCGTTTTCTGTGTGAGTCCGCTCAGAATGATAATTCTATAGATGGCCTTGATGAGAATAAGTTGAAGTCAAAGTTGAAGAGTTTTATACACAGCCTTGAGTTGATGTTGTTGTTGTTGTTGAAGAGTTAGGGGCCTTGAGTTGAGGTTGAGTCGAACTTTTACCTTCCGACCGCGCGCGGAGGCGATATGGTGCCACACTGGCGGTTTTTACGATAGCTCAAAATTCTTTTGAGATAAAGAGATGAAATTTGACATGTCCTATCTTTTGATCAAGCTGGATCTTATGGTACAAGTCGCATATTTAAGGTAGGTCAGGTTGTTGACCTATGTTGTCGCTCGTGAGCCTCTGCACAGTCCAAAAACAACGCAATTTCTGAACACTCAGTGCCAAGAAATCCACAGAAAGATGACACTTGGCAGAAAGAAGAGTTGTCGGTTTCTTACCGTTCGTATGTGTCGTGTTTTCACAAGAGTTTAGTAAGGTCAGGTCCGTCACGTGACCTCCCCTCATAACTCAATAGGTTTACGGGTTTACTATCATATAAGCGTTTATCAATCGCCGGAAATCTTAGCCAATCCCACTGGACACTGGATCCATACCCACATGGGGCCCTCCTGACTGGCCACTCCCTCTGAAATCCACAATAACATTGGGCTGCGGCCACGGTTATGTATTAATGCTTTTCACTAACAGAAATACAACTTCAACCAGCACAGTGCACGCCGCCACAACAGTCCGACCCACGTCCCTGATATCGACTAGCTCCCGGCCGGATGCACATACGCGGAGCCAATCAGTCCGAATGTGACCTGCAGCTTACAATTGCTGTGTCGCATGGTGCATGGCACAGGACGATTCCTAGCAGCTGTCGGCTGGAGTGGAGAAACAGCACGTTGCGACACACCGCGCCGGCGACAGAGCTCAGCAGGGCTGGTTGGAGGCTGGAGCCGGAGGTAAGCGGCGGACACAGGCACAGACATTGCAGGACAAATAACAGGATGTCAGTTAGGGATATAATTCAAGACGAATGATTCAAGACGGACTGAAATAATACACATTTTGCTCACTTGGATACCAACTTCAAACTTGACGTTTATGTATAGCACCATGGAAACAATGGGCACACAGGAAAGAAACAAAAGATGAGGGTTTTTTAACTCAAGGAAGTAAAACAGCCCGAAGTGTAGACAAGCACATACTTTTGGTAATAGCTATCAGCTGTCCTACTCCTCTTCTCCCTTCATCAACTACTGGACACATTTGAAGCATCATATATAGCACCAAATACCAATGTCCATAACCAAAGCTTGCAAGTAGTTTTAACTTCTATGAAGCCAGGGGAAATGTGCCTACATTATGCATGTAAACTCAAAATTACACATGCATGACAAAGGAAGCTTATGTAAAGAGAATAGTTGACAAAAGCATCTCATGGTTAAAATTATTCAAAACTGCACACAGGGCAAACATAAAAAGCAGCAAGTGTACTGTTCTGTTATGCTAAGAAATAGTCCAAAACAAAATACAATCTTTTCATGTTTGAACTGGTTGTTCTTCTATGCCCCTTCATCCATATCTTGATTACAGATGGGCTGTTACTGTAGGCTGATGAAGTGACACTTGATTGCCTTTGTGCGAGTTTCAGTTGCAGCCTCCTTGGTACTGCACTGGAAAGCAGATTGAATGGAATGCCTCTGAAAGATAGGAATACAGGCAAAGTTAGCTGTAGTAGTGTCAATGATAATAGACATGACATTTTTGTCCTTTGACATACATTTGTTGAAGTACAAAAAGGTACAAAATAAATTGGTTTGTTTCAAGACACGCACACTGCACAAAGCCGCACAGACATTACAGAGGCATATGAAATTGGTACACATAAAAATTGATGATTAAAAAGGTCAAAACTTGCAATAATAATTGAAGTAAAAGTTACAATCACAATTCACAATCATTTGATTTAAAATGACTTGACATAGGTAAGTCACAAGACGCAGTACGCTCCTATTCTTTTATGCTTTCATTATCCTCCACATATCAACCAGCTTAATACCAGGCTGTGCAATAGTGTGTACATAACCCCATGTTGCCATTTTATTAGAGCAAGTGGGGTTACAACAACAATGCTAATGTCAAACCCACATCTGCAAGTTGCAACCCGTACTGCAGTTTCAATCACCTTACAAGCACACCTTCTGGCAGTTTGATAGGCAGAATCGTCATAACTACTTTCTCCTCATATTCAACACATATTCCCTTTATACAGATACAGTTTAGACCTGGTTATGGCAAGCATTTTCGAGAAAAGATATGATATAAGTCCAAGACAAAGGTCGAGAGAAACAACACCAACATAAAACACCGACTATGTAGCACTAGTACTGTCAAATTCATAAAAATATATACATGAGTCGATCAGAAATTCACTGTAGATTTCGAAAATGGTGTCAAATGCCACTCAAATACCCCCATTCGCATGTAAGAAGCAATAAAACACTGACCTTCAATTCCGCGTGCCATTCTCCATAGGCCACTGTGTATTAAACAACGCGTTCACTGATAGCAAAAAATGAGACCCACATATGACGCGTTTGCTACCAGCCAATCAGCGCTCGAGATGCCGAACGCTGATTGGTGGAGAGGGCCGTCGTTAGCAGTCCATTACACGTTGTTTTCCTTGAACATGTGCGTGAGCGCTGATGCTGCTCACGGGTTGTTGCCATTTTTCGTAATGCTGAAGGCACGGGAGCGAACCCCCCTGATAAACCGGTTGAGTCCAAGCGCGCATCACAACAACGCGCGCGCGGTCTCACGTGCTACTGCATCAAAACTGCGTCATGAATGTCGAAACCCAAGGCTCAGGGTCATCGAAATCTATACGACCATCAAATAAGCAGCAGATTGATATTCGCAACCATCCAGATAAGAAATTGATGTTCGGGCGTGGAACGCAGTAACTCAGAAATCTATAATAATAATAATAATACATGTTTATTTCATACCATAAGTGGTACATATAGGCGAACACTAAAACAAACACACACAGACACACCACCAAACAACCAATACACAAGCCAGGTACTCTTTCCTCAGAGAGATGCACTGGTCATAAGACACGGTTGCGTCGTTCCATAACGAATCTTGCTATGTGTGCAACAAAAACATTGAATAGATCTGGCGACGAAGTGGCATATAAGTTGAGATTCAGCAAATCGTACTTTTGGCGATGTTTTGTATGCATACGGGCAGACAAGCCGTTGCTCCCGATGGAACTGGCTAGCAAGGCCACAATCAGTGTGTTGGAGGCCTGTGAGAGTCGAAGCCAAAAGACTAACTGGCGATAGGTGATTTGCATTGGGCAGGTCAGCATGTGAAGATCGTGACACAGATCATGATTCCTACTCCACCGAGGGACTTTGACAAGCTTCTTGAGACAACTGTGGTATGCTATACACAACTCTCGAAACGTTTGCTGGTCACGATACACGTTCCAGAGCTCACATCCATACAGGTTGGTGCAGTACGATTTGAAGAGCTTCGTCAGTACACTTTTGTCGGCAAAGCCAATAGCTGCTGATAGCATGTTTACATTGGTATAAAGCGCTCTCTTAACACGGCGCATGTCATCGATGTCGCGCAGATCATCACGAATTACATGACCCAGGTACTTAAAAGACGTCACCCATCTTAACTGCTGGCCAGAAAGTAGCAACGAAGGAGGTCTGGAATTAACCAGATGAGTGGCCGAGTACGGTTTTCGAGGGAGGAATTGCATACACACAGATTTAAGAGGGTTAAATTCAACGTCGAGAAGATGAGCTTGCCTATTGCACTCATTTACAATTGTCTGCAACGCTTCCCTCGTGGGGGCCAGAAGCACAATGTCATCAGCGTATGCCAAAATGTTCGTTGCACATGCACCTACGCGACAACCAACACTCATTTCTCGCACTTTGCACAGAATGGAGTCAACGTACACACTAAATAACAACGGAGAGAGGATGCCCCCCTGCCTAACGCCATTGCCAGCATGAAATTTTTCGGAGATAAGACCATCCCATTTAACACCCAATGTCTGCATCCTGTACCAGTACAGCAACAGTTTGAGGTATTGTGAAGGCACGCCACGGTCGGTCAAAATACCAAACAGCTTTGAGTACGAAACACGGTCAAAAGCTTTTCTCGCATCCAGGAAACATGCATACACTGGACTGCCAAGTACATTATAATAATTGATCACTTCCTTGAGCACAAAAGTAGCATGGGTCGTTGAATGACTATCTTTAAAACCAAACTGTGCGTCGCTCGTGTGGAGGTATGGTGCTAGCCTTTCATGTAGAACTAGTTCCAGTACTTTAGATACACTAGTTGAGAGGGCAATGGCCCGATAGTTCGACTTATCATCCAAAGCACCGCCCTTATTTTTAACTAAGGGTACGATAATCGAATGCATCAAACTTTCTGGAACATAAGCATGGCTAACAAAGCTGCGGAATAATAGCACAAATATTTGCTTAATATCGCCATCCAGATGACGGAGATGATCAGGGGATAGACCGTCCCAGCCTGGGGACTTGCCATTTTTAAGCTTATTTATAGCAGCACTGATCTCATCATAACTGATATCGGGGAGATCATCTGAAGGTGTACTGTAAAGCTGGTCCAGATACTGCTGGTCACTACCACAACTGTGGTCGTTAAAGATTTCTGAATAGTGGTCCTTCCACATCCTAACAATGTTAGAGCTCTCGGACACCTCTCCAAAGCTAGACACCGCGGGGCTGCCACCACCGAGGTGCCTCCTGACAAGAACCCAGAAACGATTATCTGGCTGATGGGAAAGAGCCTCACCCAACTGATTGGCCAGCAAGATCTCACGTTCCCTTTTGCAGCGGCGTAGGGCGTATTTAAACGATGAACGTGCCAGTGACATTCGGGAAAAGAGAGCACCTGTCCTGGGAGAGCCAGCGGCACGCCAATTAAGAAAGGCACCGCGAGACGCTACATACTCGGCACGCACAGACCCATTCCAGCCGGGTGTGCACTTTGGATGTGCCATTGGATGCCTTTTGATGCACCTGTTTCCAGCGCGGACAATTACATGAGTAACGTAATCATACATACCGGCCAAAGCATACGCGTGT